TTTTGTCGTAGCTAGCATTGTTGATGTTCATGCTAGCAGCAGCATGTTTTGCATTGAGGTGATAGCATAAGCTGGATGTGGTGATGAGAAAACTAATTTCATTGTGTTAACGTTAGATGTTTTATTGTAGAATAACATAATAATTTCTTTTCTTTAAAGATTGCATCTGCAGGTAACCAATATTAGCACATTTTTAGTTCCATTCCCGAAGCAGCCTAGAGTACACTTGTAGCAGCTGGATTTAAACCAGGGAGAGCTCAATTAACACCTAGTTTTGTAGTTTAATGCCTTTTTTCTGTATAAATTCTCTTTAAAAAAACATGAAAAGCTTCTGGGAGAAGAATAAGAGAGACGCCCTCTTCACTTTGAGATTTCCTGGTTACGACACAAATATTAAGAAAACAATGATCCCTATAGAAACAGTTTGAATGGCATGAGACAAACAGACAGGCTGTCGTGTGTGACTTTAGATCAACTGCAAAGTAAACATGATAATCTGTGCAGCATGTGATGTGACACATGCTTTCTTTTCTTTTGCTTTACACTATTTCCTACTTTGTCAAATTAAATCTATGCTGTATGCGTTTTCGTTAAACATTTGTTTTTTCCAGTACATCTTGAATAATGCCATTAACCTGTTGAGCTGTAGGTTTGGGCATGTGAAATTGTCTGACTTCATGGTGTTTTTACAATGTTGTCGAATGATCTGCAATACAGTAATCTAATCTGTGTGGTTCTGTTTTAGGGAGATGGCTGTTCCATATGAAGGCCAGTCTTTTGCTGCACTAAGGAGACAGTGTCGGCTGAACGGTCATCTTTTTGAAGACCCACTGTTTCCTGCATCTGACAAGTCTTTGTTCTACCAAAGCAACCGCAGCGGAAGAGTCACCTGGAAAAGGCCCAAGGTGAGAAACAGGAACAGATCCAGATGATATGGATATTTTATATGTTAAAGCTCTCTAGATGTATAATGGTAAAAAAAATAATGACTGCAGACATTTGGAGGATTGAGTAACTTTGCTGAATAAGGTACTGAATTAGACAACAGAGATGAAATCACAGGTCAGATGATTTGCAGAGAGGACAGAAAAAGACCAGACATGACACAGTGGGTGGTTAAAGTGGTTTTCAGATTAAAAAGAACCAAAAGAACTGATTTTGTTGTGGACAGGATAGGGAGAAGAATGTGTGGAATGTGTTCCAATAAATTCAGTGTGTTTTAAGTAACGGTGTATTTCAATGGAGCAGAGCGTTTTTGCAGCAACAAAAACAGCTGCCTTGTTGTGTTTTGTTGAAACATGATACATGAAACATTATAGAGTTATTGCCTAATTGCTTCCATGTCTTATCTGCTACTGTATACGCTGTAGAAGTCTTGGCGCACACACACAAATGACCTCATGCTTTCATTGAGGTCACACTCAGTGTTATTTAGTAGTGCTTTCATTGAGGTCACACTCAGTGTTAATACTGTATTTTTAGTTTACCATTTTGTTTACCACTGTTGTATTTGCTTGTGACACAGTGAATGAATACGAAATCTAAAACATGTTTTTCTGAAACATCTCTGTATACAGTAGGTCTTTGTTCAGCCAGGTAGTAGCTCTTTATATCTCACCACTGAGCAGCAGGTGAACTTGGGGTTAAGTTAAAATAACACCTCCCATTCTTCTCATTCTTTGTTTGCACACAGTCAATGATGGGATCCAGGATTATAGACTCATAAGAGAAGTGTTCTGGTCTCATAGTACTCCAGTAAAAAAACAACAATAAAATACTAATGTGATTTTAAGTGAAGATAGATCCAAACATAAATAAAACTTCCTTATGCATACAGAAGCATCATGATGTTATAATGCAGACCACTGAACAGATATCATATGATTTCACTTCTTGACCTAGAATTTGGAAATATTTCATAGACTTGGACAAAACAGGATAAATACTGTGCCAATTTTTCTTTTCTGCAAACTCAGTAGACTGACTCTGCTGGGTAGGAAGCCCCTGTTATTTTTTAAATATTTTATTTTGTGAATTAAGTTCGCCCCAGCATCTGAACACTCCATTGAATGTAGTTCACTTTTACTGTCAGTCATTGACAATTTGAGCTGCTAAATGATTAAACAGGAATGTGAGAGCACTCCAGTCGATCAATAATATTGATTTGTTCAGGGAGTGCAGATGGAGAGAGAGGAAACCAGCTATGTACAGAGTGACAACATGTTTTACAAGCTGCACGTATCAAAATTCTTGTAACACAGCTACGGATTAGAAACTGACCAGAGCAGATTAACTGTAACACTTGTTTACTATTATAACTCACTTACACGGAGTCAGTTTCGGAAGTCTCATGCTCCGTGTTTTTTTATCATAACTTTACAGTCCTAGATAAGGGCCCTTAAGCCTCCGGCTGTCAGCTTGTATAAAGGGCGTGTCAGATCTCACTGAACAAACGTTAATACCACATGTCAAATATTGAAATAACATTTAGGTAAATAGCATTGATTCTATGAAGCTGTAGCAAATGTTTTTAGAGCACCCCCCCATGTTCGTCAAATGTGAAAACACTTTTCTACCACTGCTACATAACATTTCCTGATTCCTGATTTCCAAAAATACCAATATTAGACAGAAAATAAATTAATTACTGCTCCGAGTACGAGGACAAAGTGCAACACAGGACTGTTGGTTTTGATTCTATTCATCAACAAAAACAAAGTGACCTGAGGTGATGCTCTGTTTCTATTCAGCTGAAAATTAAGCATGAATGTCACAGAACGAGATGGGGGAAGAAGAAAATGTGGTTGCTTTCTGTCAGCCTGTTATTGTGTCACCTCACAGATTAGAAAAAACACACAAACATTGAAAAACAAATCCAGTGCACAACAAACATTGTGGTTAGTGGTAAGTCTGACTGAAGGCGGTTTATGAGTAAGACTAGAGAAAGAAGTACTGACACAGTCAGACCCACCGAGTGAATGATCTTTACTGTCTGAACTGCCATTTGTCAACACTCACTCTCACGACATCCAAAGTACTTCTGGACACACATTTATCAGTTTGACTATACATGTGTCATTTTGTGACTTTATTGTGAATTAAAGTACGCCATCAACTTTTATTAAAGTTAAGTTGTTATAGATTTGGTTTAGGTGAACCCTTGGCTAAAATGAAATATTATTAAAAAATTTTTCCTATCTTTTTGATTGGCTTCCTGTTCATAGCAAGAGAAAATCTGTGGCACCTGAACTAAAAGAAGAAGCTTAAATAGAACCACCCAGACTGGTCCTCAGGTCCTGACGTGTTTTGTGGTTAGTGTGTGCGTTTGTATAAATAGTACAGCTTGTGCATTTAAAGTAGTGCCTTCCAATTTAAGAGGAGTTAACATTCTCTTTGGTTTCTATACATATACATCAGACATTTTGTCATGTGACTTCACAGAAAACATAAAATTTACTGGGAACCCACAGGATTTAAATAGCAACTTTTTTTTGCTGGGGCAAAAGAGCAGGTCTTACCTTCAAAGAAGGACTTTGTAGTTTCATCCACTATCCCTTAACTCAATGCAACATTGTGTGTATTTGCCTGGCACTAAGCACGTTGATTATTATCAGTTGATTATGATTATGGTCATGATTAAACACAGGATGTTTATTAACTAACTACAATATATAAACAATGTAACAGTATAGAGACAATAAAATAATTCTCTTTGACTAACTGACTATGAGCACTAAGCATACATTAGCAGTCTTAAGCACCGTGTGGCTATGAGGAGGGATCAATGTAAACAATTTACATAGTAAATCTCAATGTCAGTCACATACCAGTCAGTGAGTAAGACTTTGAGTGGAACCTGCGTGGTGTGTCTCAGGTTTATTCCAGCTCTATCATTTTGCTTCCATCCTCTTGAAATATCTCTGTTTTTCACTTTGAACATTCAGAGGTCATACTTAGTTAAATGGTGAGAAGCTGTAACCAGAATTTATAGTATAATGATTAACCCAAAGCCCAGAGGATACACCCTTTTTACAGTCATGCCAACTGCTGCTACTACTGAATGGCTTCCTCACAACATCTGTTCAATGACTGACAGAAATTAAGTTGCCAAGTTCAATTAAAAAAACTACAGAAAATATGCTTCACATGTGATTTACAGTTTACATTTTGGTTTTGCAGGAGTTATGCAGCAACCCACAGCTGTTTGTGGATGGTATCAGCGCCCACGACCTGCATCAAGGCCAGCTGGGAAACTGCTGGTTTGTAGCTGCCTGCTCTAGTTTGGCCTCCAGAGAGTCTTTATGGCAGAAGGTGAGACCAAACACACAGACACGGTTTGTCCATGTTTTATTTCCTCTTTTGGTTACCGCTGTGGAGTGTGTTTAATTCTTGGCTTCATCACCAAGTCATTGGAGATACGCAAATGATACTCATGCATAGTTTTACAGCAGATCCCGCCCCCTTGTGGGTCAGTGAGGTATCGTGACAGGATGGACAGCACTTACGCACATATATTGTATCATATCATGTCATGTCATATATTGTGTCATGTATCATTACAAAACCAAGAGTAAAAATAAGTAACAATTGAATCCATTAGGTGGCACCATTAACCTGTTTTTCAGGTATGATACAAATCCATGCATGACTGCCCTTTGTAAGCTTTTACAATTGTTTTGTGATGTTTGTATAGTGAATTTACAAATACAGTCATCATAAATTCATGGCTGTCCTCTGTCATCCTTTTTAAGGCGTTTGTTTGGTGTGTTGTTCCTGGAAACTCAGAACTTTCCACATTTTTTTGGATTTACTTCCATGATTCCATGACTTAGCATTTTTTTTCTTTTTTTCTGAAAGGTTGTTATTCACATTCATTTCAGGGCTACAGTACACAGTGAATGTGTGGCAATGTGGTTAAAACAAAGCCTTGAATGTAAATATATTTGAAACTTTTAGTGTAGGAATTGCCCTTTTCCAGTCTGACATCTTGTCTCTCACTGAATAAAAATGTTTTAACTTTGAAATTATTTTTGATTATTATTTTTAAGTGACTCAGTACTTTAACAATAAGCACTTTTTTCAATATTTCCATGTTTGTCTGTTACCTAATCGTATATACTGCAGGTTCTTAGCAGGATTAGTTGAGATTGTGTTTCCTGGGATGTGTCCGTGTTTTTTCCACTGATAGTTACTTCATTCCTCCTGTGGGCTCTCTTAGGTCCTTTAAGTTTTCCACCAGCTAAAAGCAAATTAATATCAGCTTTAGGTGTTGTTGCTACAGTACAAGAGGTTGTTGTGCAGCAGACGTTTGTCCTGGTGTGAAACACACAATCGTGTCTACTGAGGGTTTATTTTTGTCATTTGGTTGTCCTGCCCTCTTGGCATCATTTCCTGGTTGTATCATATTAGTGTTTACTATGTATCTTTTTTTCAATGCAAATTACAGTCTGTCCTTGAATATGTTTATATATTTAGACCATCAGAGACCTGTAGAATATGAACTGAAACTATTTTGCGTTGATGTAACTTCCCCCCTGCCGTCTATCGCTGTCTTCTACCCCCACAGTCCACTCACCCATATATTAATTACCACCAAAGAGAGCACATGGATGGCTTTCACTCGATATTTAATAGATGTCACTCCATTGATCTCTGCAGTGTGTCAGGCAGAAAGTCATGCATTATGTTTGTGATATTTCCATTCATTACTATTCACTTTAATGAGCACTGAAAGATAGAAAAAAAAAAACAAAGACAGTTATTACACAATATAAAAGAGCTGATCACAAAAAGCCATTAATGAGCACTGAAAGATAGAAAAAAAACAAAGACAGTTATTGCACAATATAAAAGAGATGATCACAAAAAGCCACGTTTTACATCTAAAAATCTTTTTTTAATAATTCTATTCATAGGTAAACAGTTTTTGTGACTTATTTACATTTGCCTTTTTTTATAAGTTAAATATTTAGATGTCAATTCTGAACCTTTTTTGTTTTTCTGTTTCAACTTTTTGTTTTTCTTTTTAGTTATTTATTTAAAAAAAGGTTGATCACATAAACATTCAACTATTTATACCAGATGACGAGTAGTGTATTATGTGTTTTTATCTATGGGGGCTCAGTCTAGGCCCAGAGAAGTTTATGGGTCAAATTAGGCTTCAGTGGTTAATAAACCTGATTGGTAAAGATTGAAGGATGCCATCTGTTGTAATATATGTGGCTTCAGTGGTTAATAAACCTGATTGGTGGCAGTAAAGATTGAAGGATACATTAGTGGAGGCTCAGCAGGAGAGGGAGGCTTTGTGCTCTGTATTCTGTTTCTATTGGCTGAAATATTTCTTTTTGCTCTAGTTTGCTATATAAGGTAAACATTTTGATGTACCCAATATCACAGACGTTCACTGTTGTTTAACTGGTTTGAACTCCAGTGAGCAGCGGAGATTTGCTGCCTCTGCTCCATCTTTGAAAGCAAACAGGAAATACATGACCTTCCTGACCTTGGCTAGCTCAGCGATCCTTTCACCAAACTCCTGCATGTCTGCCTCCAGACATTTTAGCTGAGAATCTCTAGGGTCAGTGGCGTTGCGCCAAAATGTTCCGATGGGTTCTAATAACTGACGTGTCATTAGGTTGGTGAGGTCAGGGGTCCAGAGCTGGCAAATGCCTGTGATTGTGACACGTCCGTGGCCAGAGAGAAACAGGTTCCAACGAGAGAAGCTCAATTCCTGGTTTCGGAAGTCGAGTCGATAAACGGCCTCATGGGGCAGAAGCAGACGCTCACCATCCTGGCGTTTCTGCCCTGACCGCTGTAAGGAAGCAACGCGTAGACGCATCATCTGCAGTGGGAATACAATTGGTTAAGGAAATACAGCTTAGGAGGTTTTGAAGAGAATTTGTTAAAAACTGTTCAATCCAGTGACCACCAAGTGCCCACTAGATCCATAATCCCCATCCTTAATAAAACTCCATATTGATACAATAAGAATTCCAAGAAAGATGTCTCCCATTTGAAAACATTGTCTAATTTCCCTTTCTCTTTTCAAGTACTTTTCACTGGTAACCAATGAAAAGTAGTTCAATAATGTAAAAGTGAGTAATTTCAGCATCACCTCTGCCTCTACTGCTGTGTTTAACCTGCTGGCCATGATCTGTCTGTCATGATGTAAGCATTGTCCACTGGGCAAACGCCTGTTTTAGAAGGTAAATATAAACCTAGTCTTAAAAATGAAGTGACCAACAGAATTAAAGGACTAAATAAATTACATTTATGCATGTGGTACCAGCACCCTCAACAGCAGGAGTAGGGTATTTCAAATGTTAAGTAATGTTTGTCTTTAATGGTTAACCTAGTTAAACTATGATTATTACTGTAAGTAGATAGTACATATAGTTTTGAAAATCAAGTTCCATTTTCCAAGAAAATCATGGTTTTTAGACATCAACGACGCACAAAACCAGTAGAGCTAAGTTTTAAAGATGTTTAAAATGTTGGAAAATGTATGTTTTCACAATTAAAAAACATATGTAAACTACAGCTTATCTTTAGTAAAGATGTATAAACTGGACTATTATATTCTTACAGTCTGTACACAGCAAAAAATAGTCCAATCTTCTCAATGTTTTTTTCCTGCATTATTCCGGTTATGCCTACAAGAGGCTTTATAAAAAGTTTTCTGCAGCCCTTACCTCGGTCAGTGCAGTGTCTTCCTTGAATGCCAGTACGATGGAGTTGTAGGAACCCTTGGCCTTGGCCTTGTCCATGTCCGAATATGTCAATCAAGTCCTGAATGAGTGGAGGACCGTCCTGTCTGTACTGATGCTCTTATAGATGAAGCTCTGCAAGAGTTTCCCTCTCTTTTGCTCTTTCTGTCTCTCTCCCTCACTGTTGCTCTCTCTTTTTCCCTGCACCTTCTTACCACCCCTCCTCCCTCCCTGTTGCTCTCACTGCCCTCAGGGCATTAGGTTAGGACACATTGATTGATATGTCATCAGTGGAGAGGGGCGTGTGTTTGTAGATGAGATCAATGTGTGTCACTCTTTTCAAACCTGCACTGTGACGTTTTAGTACCAAACTTAATTAAAACAAAACTCCACATTATCATCGTCTCTGTGCCTTTTCGGTAATTGTGTTTTAATGTAACCCACATTTTTTTAACTGGCCACCGTATCTGAAGTGTAATGTACGTAATGTGTCAAAATCTCAAATGAAAAACCTTTGAGCTTTTTTTCAGGCGTTAAGCAGGTGGGTGGTGTGTGAGGATGCTAAGCAACAGGCGGCATAGATGACGAACAAGAGGGAATTCTGTCAGTTTCCTAAGGGCCTCTGAGAACTGCGCTGTTCTTACCTCAATGGATCACTTATTTATTTATATTCATTCACATCACTGCGGATGTTGTCCCTGTGTGTGTGTGTGTGTTCTGTTTGTGTGTCTACCTGTCATTGGGGATCTTGGGACCTTGGTGAAAGACTTTCCCTCGTTAAAGACTTAAAACTGTCACCATCTGATTGTTAATTATACACAACAGGTAAATAAGGGGAAACAAACCGAGTACTTGGAAACACTTACACACTAAAACATTGTGTGAAACGGGGTTCTCCTGATGCAGTGATTTTAAACTACATATATTTACTCTACTTTATATATATATGTATATATTTATATATGTATATATATGTATATGGTTTGCTTATTGGCAGCCAATCACAATTCTTCACATTAACAGCCGATCAGCTTGTTTCAGTAGCATTTTCCATGAGGTGACAGCAGATATCCCCAAACCAAAAAGGTTGAAGAAGCTCTTTGTGTATATATCAGTGTTGTGTTCAACTGAACAGGTTTTAATTGAAACAGAAGACTTATTGTATTGCTTTATTCATACATTTTGTGATCAGTTGTTGTTTTATTTTCTTTCCAGGTAATCCCTGACTGGACAGATCAGGAGTGGGATAAGGATAAACCAGATTTGTATGCTGGGATTTTTCACTTCCGGTTCTGGAGGTTTGGTGAGTGGGTGGACGTCGTTATTGACGACCGATTGCCTACTGCAAATGAAGGGCTGATTTACTGCCACTCCAAAGACAGCAATGAGTTCTGGAGCGCACTGGTGGAGAAGGCATACGCCAAGTAAGTATATTCCCCCAATATGCTTGTTCCTGTGACGGAATATTATATTTATTCCTGGATTACAGGATATGCAGTTTTGTGCATCACTTTTGGATGATAATCACAATTCATGTTTAGTATGTTCAGTAATTATTTTAAATCACTAATTCAACATCTTTGTCAAACATTTATTATTCAAGAATGTGTGGATGCTACGAAGCACTGGATGGCGGCAACACTGCAGATGCTCTTGTGGACTTCACTGGTGGGGTTTCAGAACCACTTGACCTGTTAGAACATGGATACAAAGGAGATGAGGAAAAATGTAACGATCTGTTTGAGAGAGTCCTCAAAGTTCACAACAGAGGAGGCCTCATCAGCTGCTCCATCCGGGTGAGGATAAGTAGATCAAACGGAACTAATAGAAATAGAAACAAAAAAAGAAACAATCCTGAAAGGGAAATCTTCATTATGCTACTTCATCATTCCAGGCAACCACTGCGGCAGACATGGAGGCCAGACTGTCCTGTGGACTGGTAAAGGGGCATGCCTATGCAGTGACTGATGTCCGCAGGGTAAGGCTTGGCCACGGCCTGCTGGCCTATTTCAGGTCAGACAAACTCACCATGATCCGCATGAGAAATCCATGGGGACAGAGAGAGTGGAACGGGCCCTGGAGTGATAGGTGAGATAGAAGAGGATACAGATTCTGCTGTTGTCCCTAATATTTACATTAGTAATATGTTTATACGTATGTATGACAAGCAGATATGAACTGTGTGTATTTGTAATACATACAAAAAATATATTCTCAGTGACGTCACTAACAGTGGAAGACAGTGACCTGTGTCTGTTTAACCTGCAGCTCTGAAGAGTGGAACAAAGTCAGTAAGAGTGAGCGAGAGAAGATCGGAGTCACTGTGCAGGACGACGGAGAGTTCTGGTAAGATCTGAAGAGCAATGCTTCCCTCTGGTGGTGGGATCGAGGTCCTTTCTATGTATAACAACTAATAGCTCAGAAAGCAGCCTGTATAAACCTTTACAGTAGTAATACTTTGCATTGTTTTCTGTTTTATTTGATGTAAAGTTAACAGGAAGCAAAATTTGCATTTTAATCTTTCATCTTTCCTTCTTTTATCTTCGTCTCTTTCTGCAGGATGAATTTTGATGATTTTATCGCTAACTTCACGGACCTTATCTTGTGTCGCCTCATCAACACATCCTACCTTAGTTTCCATAAGACCTGGGAGGAAGTGGTCATGCGAGGATCTTGGCGTCGACATGACGATCCACTTATGAACCGAGCTGGAGGCTGTACTAACAACAAGCACAGCTTCCTCCAAAACCCACAGGTGTTCAGCTGTCATTTCACTCATCTGGGCTGTTTAAACACAGAGGAAAAAATGCAATGACCAACAACATTTGTGTTTTCCTGTTTTTTGTTGCCGTAGTACGTGTTTGATGTAAAGAAGCCCGAGGACGAGGTTCTCATCTGTCTTCTACAGCAAGACCGCAGGGCCAGACTGAGAGAGGGGCGGGGTGAAAACCTGCCCATTGGCTTTGACATACACAGAGTCAGCTGAGCTATTAGCATTACATCTACACTGGTATTTTTTTATCACTGTATTTAGAGAAGTGTAAAATTTGCTGCTCTCTGCGTCCAGGTGGAGTTAAACCGGATGTACCGTATGCATGTGAACCAACAGAAGGTTGGAGGAAGCACTTACATCAACTCCAGGTCTGTGTTTTTACGTATCGAACTGACACAGGGGCGCTATGTTGTCATACCAACAACCTTTGAACCCGGTCTGGAGGGTGAATTCCTGCTCCGCATCTTCTCTGATGTATCTGCAGACTGCAAGTAGGTGCCATTCTTTTTAAAAAATAAAAGAGACAATAAAACTAATTTCTAAGTATTGCATGAATATTAAGTAACGTGTTTTCTTCTACAGAGAGTTGACTCTTCATGAGCCTCCAAAGACCTGCTGGTCAGGTCTGTGTGGTTATCCGTCTCTGGTCACTCAGGTCCATGTGCTGCAGGCCAACGGAGTAGCAGGACATGACTCAGATGGAAGTACGTTTGACATCCCTGAATCACTTCTTTCATCAGACTCATTTAGACCTTTGTAATTTTACAAGCTGTTTGTATGATGACACTATCATTCTAATCTTACCTTCAGCTTCAGATCCATATGTGATCATTCGCTGTGAAGGTGACAAGGTTCGTTCTCCGGTCCATAAAAGCACTCGCAGCCCGGTCTTCAATGCCAAGGGACTCTTCTACAGGAAGCACATCAACAAGCAAATCAGCATTGAGGTATGTGTAAAAACGTATTAATTCTAAGGTAAGCTTAGTTAACAGTGAAGTAAATTCACTGGTTGACTTATAACGTACTATCAAGTGCTGTTTTCTTTTTTGAATGTAAATGACTGTCTAAAGGCCCTGTTAGTGTCTGGTGTCTGTTTTTACAGCATTTTTCTTTCACTGTCAGATCTACAACCACAATGTCCTGATGGACTCCTTCCTGGGTCAGGTAAAGTTACCGGCAGATCAAGGAGAATTCCAGCAGACACTACACCTGAGGGGCAAGGGAGATCGCCGTGACAACGACCTCCCTGGGACCATCACTGTTGCCATAGTCACCAGCTCTGTGCTCACCAACATTTGAATAAGACTCTGTCTGAGACATGTCCAAAGGGACAGTTTGTCTTAAACAATGATCAATGACATAATTTTATCATGATAAAAAAAAGTTCTGTTTTTTCCAAAAACGAGCTCAAAAGAGCTAGTTATTATTATTGGGGGTTTTTTTCTTCCTTTTTTTATGTAGTTCCCACTTTGTCTGATTGAATTCAATGTGAAAGCAGCTTCTGTGGATTTATATCCACATCCATATCCTGTTTACTCTTACCTTTATTCTATTTTCATGTACTATTTTGAATACTATAAGTGTCTTTTATATCCTTATTGTGATATTTCTCTATCTAGAAGAAGCTTTGCAAATTTGCCTTGTTTTGCAGTAGCCTGTAGATACTTTTCTTTTTAGCATTAGCTTTGTCAAATATAATTCTATATAAAAATATAGTTTAGAAGCAGTTACCTTATAATACTTTTAAGTTTTATAATACTTTAAGACTTTTATGCTTATATGTTTTAGAAAGCACTACTTTTATTATCTGCAGTTTGAGTTTTACAGAGTTTTAATGTTTACTTGCCTTTACAGTGGTCCAGAAAACCACTAGTGCCACTGGCTACAGGTTTACATACTGCAAGGTACACTTAACGGCCATTGAATTAGGGACATCGAGCGAGTACAGGACTAGACCACTTGTTCTTTGTTTACTGTTTTAATTTTTGTGGCATAGATTCAGAAGAAGAATATTTTATTGTACATGTGTACACACATATACACAAAATATACA